TCAATGAAATATGTCAATATAATTATTCATGATTTAAATTTGCATGTGTTTAACAGAGATCGCTCCAGCGGTCATTGCGGCTTCCAATGGTGAACCCTGAATAATCCGCATCTGCTTACAATTTATCATGGTAGCGTTCATGGCATGTTATTGAAATTACTAAAAGAAAACTGGCGGTTATAATTGTCGAATACGGAATGTTAGTTGAAATAACAAGACGCCGATAAATATGATAGTTATGTTCTGGTATCCGGGGCAATTAGTCTAACATTATGGCGTGTTTAATACTTTGCGTGATTGGCTATATGTGTGAAGGCCACGCCTTAGAGTCTTTTAACTTCTCTGTAATTGGTTAACAGTTGGAAAAGTGAATAAAGTGGTCTCGGCACGAGAGAGTCAGTCGGGGATGCGGCCCGAGAAGCTAACACGGCTGAGACCAAATGTAACACACAGTTCTCTGTGTGTCTTTGTTCGATTGAATGGGTGGCGAACTTCCCGATCACCGGTTACCTGACTTGAAGGTTTAATAACTCGATAATTAAGCCATCATATAAGTATCCATAGTTGTTTATTTGACATACCTTCACCTACATGTATGTGACGTCAGAGCAGTTCTTCGTCGCTAGAGGGCGCATGTACGCTGTCAGCTAGAGAGAATTAACTTAAGTGCATTGCCCAGCACACGAACACTCTGTCTAAACATTCTAATATAGCACCCGTGAAGAAATAAAGCTATATACTTAACTTTTAGTTTATTTTTTTCATTTTCTAGGTTTAGTAACAGAGATGTTATTTTCATTGGATGACAAATATCTCTAGTTTGTCAATTGGTTTCATGGAGATCAGATGTACGTCAATATGACATCTTAACAGACACCAGAAATCTACGCTTGCTTGGACGGGTAAGTTTTTGTTGGCATACCTCATATTGTCCCATAGTCGAAATAATTCACACGGTGCGGGTCTTTAATTGCCCATTGTGGGTAAAAATTGAACAAATGAATATATTTTGATTTCTGTTAGATTTTCCTGGGTGGTAGCAGACAGACAGTGGTGTGAAAGTGATTGAAGATAAGGAAATGACATAACAGCCAGATTCACTGTATATGAACGGTAAACGCATTGCGGGAAATCCACAGATGATACAACTCAGCATTGTCGGTAAAAGACGTCACTGTACAGTACCCGGAACAAACAGTTTACCTTGTTTCGATCGAATGAGCATGCGTGTACTTTTGAAAATCGGCGCATTTTTACGTTTACATTACATGGAATTTTGTGGTCCGAACTAAATTGACAAGTTATATATGCATATATCTCAGCATTTTGCTCGGTGACAATATGGTGTAGTGAAGTTAACATTAAACATGCCTGTGGGTACTCGACCGGAGCCTAGACTCGGAGTAGAAAGTATTGTGCGAGGCGCAGTAGTGGTTAATAATTCAATAGAAGAAAAAGAATATTCACCGACATTGACACAGCCTTTGTTTAATTTGTTTGACCAATGAAAATCGGCGCATTTTACGTTTTATATGTATTAGAATGAAAAGGAATTTTTTTTTTTAAATTCGGGAACATAACATTTATTCTCTTATTTGAATGTTTTTTTTTGGGGGGGGGGGGGTAGTGCGTCTACCAGTCCTGGTCAACAATTACTAGACAAATAGAGAATTCAAGTACATACGTAGTATGTACATTATATGAACAGAAGCTACCCTAAGACTGCTCCAATTTTACTGATAAAGTCAATCTTTGTTCGACTTATTTGACCATTGAAAATCGGCGCATTTTTACGTTTACATTACATGACATTTTTGGGGTCTGAAAACTAAATTAACCTGTTACACATCCATTTTTCTCGGTGACAATATGGTGTAGTGATGTATACAGTCTTTCGAGTTTTTTATTCTTGGTTTTAGAATGGCTAGTTTAATCTAGGATGGAAATTGTACATGTAATGTTAAGTAAGCATTTGTTTGCTATAGAAATGCTCTGAACACTAGAAACCACACCCACATGTACACATGAGTGCAATATTAACCCAGTCAAAGTAATCTGAGGATTGTTTTTGATAAAAGTTGTTGTTTCCAAAGACAATAGAGATATTTACTGCCTTGAATTATTCCTAAGTATTTTCGGCGAGAAATCTCATTTTTATCTCAAGATGGCGCTGTTGCATATATATGTTATCATAAGTCAAATTAGTAGAGGGGTGCATACAACATTCGTCATTTTGTTTTACCTATGTATCTCATCAATTCTATCAGAATCTGGAGTTAAAAATGTTATGCTTTCGAAAAAGTACTTGATTGTATTGTGAGAATATGAAATTAATTCTTAAAAATATGGGTTTCTCAATCCCACATTATTTTACACTAGAGAATCATTCGAGGGACGATAATTTCTGTAAAATCGTTTCACTTGGTGGGACAATAATGTTTACTCTCACTAAAACATGGAATATATACAAAAATCATGTATGCTGTTAGGGACAAATTCTGACTGAAAGTGCATGTAAATCATTCACTAAAAGAAAGAATGGACGTAAAATGATGTATGTGATGAGGGGACAATATCTGAGCGATTACTGGTCATATTACACAGGTGGTCTCTATATACAGGTCACTTTACATTCAAATCGCACTAGGACTGCACAGAAGTGTTAGGTATCGGATAACTAATACAGGTTTCATTGTATATTGGAAATGGTCAATGTCTACAAAGCCATAATTCTAGTTTCACTTTGAAGAACATTGCTTTTACTTGCATGCATCATGTTGACGCCACAGATATATGAAAAGTACATTTTTAATATCAGTAATATTTCGTGAGAGATGAATTTGTCGGCAAATTAAACATTACGATTAACCTAATAATACGATTATGCTTGGCAGTAGTTGCAATGGGTGACCGTTGCTAATAACAAGCGCCTTCTGGAGCTGCCATGAACCCTTGGCTCCCAGCAGAGCTAGCATAAAATTTGTCAGGAACGTAAAAATAATTTATCTGCATACCACACTCCTGGTCCCCTGTCTTTTTTTTGCACAGTCAGTCACTCTTTAAATAACAACGGTGTATCTTTGAATATTTCTAAATAAAATGAAATGCATAAACACGTGTGACTGGCTTTTCCCAGGCCTCTGTCGAGTTTCCAGAGCTGCTGCTAATGGGGTTAGTACGAAGTCTATCTGACATCTCTACATAAGGGCCCTGGAATCTGGACTTGTATTTACCATAAAAATGGGATGAGAAATGATTTTAAATTTACTATCATCAATTTTCTACTGTGACAGTTTTGTCCCGCATTCTCTCTTACCTATGGGGTATACATTTAAGTTCCCGGCCCCATTCCCGTGCATGTAGTACATATGGAGAATTTTTTCATAGCATAGTGTATGCTTCTAAAACGCTTATCTCTCTCAACAATGCCCAGAATCTCTCAATGGGGAGGCAAATGCAAGGGTCGGAAATTTCAGAATGGGTTCAAACAAAGGTAAGACATTTTTCTGGGTGTGTCGTGATCTTAGAATATCGGTTAGTAACAAGCTTGTCTGTGGTGCAAATAATCACTGCGCCACTTTCTGGAAACACCAAGTATTATCTGAATTACACGGAGATACCAAAATACACCAAACACTACTACATGGCTTGTATCATTAAAACATGTCATTTTAATAACGAACTTTTAATAACACATGTATCATTGCTATAAAAGAATTCTTCAAGCGAATTCGAATTCTGAATGTTGGAATCTCCTCAGAGTGTTATTCACGACAAATAACACACGATTATATAAATTACTTAAATTACAAGTGACTTCAGTAAAGACAGTGCTGATCCAGTGCGGTAGAAAAAAAACAACTTCAATCATGTTAAGCTAACTATTGTTCTTGTGACGGTTTATATCGCTAGAGCGCCACCTATAGTATTTTTTTTACATTACTTTGTTTTGGTGTTCATCATCTTTTGGCGGCATGTTTGTTATACATGAACGTTAAATTGATCAGGGTCCTTCATAGGTCAAGTAACTTTATATCAATTTTGGATGATATGGCTGACATGTGTCTGTAATAATTGAGGAATTGTGGCATGTTCAATAAATTACGTTAGAGGGCGTTTATTGGAGAGAATGACCTTTGACCGCAATTTGACCAAAGTCAGTGTTGTTGTTTGTGCCTGTAAAATCTTACTGCAGATGGTTTTAGTTTCCTGTGTTACCGGTAGTCTCACGGGTTATTTCATTTGATAAGCTGGTGTTAATCATGGAAGACGTAGCGAAGACCGCATTTCTAAGTCACAAATACGACCTGGCTGCACAGATATACGCTAGTGTGTTAGTCGAGCACGGTAATAATGATCAGGAATTGTGCCTGTGCCTTGCAGATGCTCTGGTTCGTTCTGGTAAATTGAACGAATCGGTGGATGCTTATCTTCGCGCTACACGGATAGGACATGTATCACCAGAAAGGCTCGTTCACCTTGTTACAGGAATTGTTGACACTGAATGTAAACACTTAACTTTATTTACAAGGCATCGCAAACGGGATCGTGACACTCCGTCCGACCTTGTTTCGTGTTCTATGTGCAACGGTCTGATCCATGAACCGGTCACCATACCGTGTGGCCATACGTATTGTAAACAGTGTGTCAGTCAGAAGCAGAAGTCACAAACATGTGGACTGTGTAGTACTCACGTATCCAATATCGAGCACTCAACTTTCAAGATCAACGTAGGATTGTCTCGGGTATTCGAGAAATTGTTTTCAGAGGAGACAAGGTCACGTAGGATAAGAGCTGAAGGTAATCGGTTGTTTGCAGATGGACAATTACAAGCTGCTTTAGATAAATATACAGAGGCGATTACCCTGGGTAAGATCACTTGCTTTAACAAGAATATGCTGTAAACCATTTGATTTTCGCCGTCTTACAGAATCCAATGTACACTGATGTTTAGTTTCTGTGCGACAAGCGTGAACCTGCCAGCATCGACCATTACAGTTTAACACAATGAAAATGTTTTCAAAGAAAGCAAATATTAAAATTGCCAAAATTTATTTAAATATAACTATCTATATATTATATAAATAATTTTATATCTTATTTTAACTAATGCTAATTTATTGGCTTTTGTGATACTGTAAAATGACTAATTTTCACTGGGTTTAAATTTCGCTGATTTAGCATTTCAGGCATATTCAGTGGGTTTTAAATTCACGGTTTTATCATTTAGATAATGTGTTCTATGCTAAATTTTACATATTCACTGGGTTTTAATTTAGCGCATTTTCCAGTCAGCGAAATAAGCAAAATTAAAACCCAGTGAATAATTAACCCCTTTACAGTAACCACAACTTTGAATAAATAAATAAATACATGTAATAAATAAATATAAATTATATAAAAATAATTACAAATTAAATTAAAAATAGAATGGTATATCAGATTGTCTTTTCTCAGGAGCGAACTTCTAGGCACCACCTTCACTGCCTGGCAACCAGTGAAAACAACTTTATTTTGGGCTAGTTGTTAAAACTCTTCTGAACAGTGCAACATAGAATACTCTGTGACATAGCTCTGCCCCCAAGATTACATAAGATTGAATGACTTGCTATTGTATTAAATATACATACAATTTTACAATGAACACATCTTTATGTTTATGCGTGCATGCATTCGTCCACGCATACATCTTGGAATACAAATGTTCATTTGCTTTTTGATCTGATTTGAGATGGCCAAATAGGTGGCCATTTCAGTGTCAAAAATTCATCAAAATCAAGCATTGCAGATTGGATTCAAATTAATCGTCTGGCAGCCAGTGATGTATATATGACATTTATCATGTAACATATGTACACATGCACTCATTTATTGATATATCATGTCATGATTTGTTCCCTGGCTCATAAAATTTGGTAAATAAACCAGTTTTCACTATCACAGGTTTGAAATGAAATTATGCTATTGCTGTTTTTAATGAAATATGTATTGAATTTTTTTTTTTTTTTTATATATTATGAAGTGTCTTAAGGTAGAATCCTACTCATTATTTTTGAGAAAGTTGGTCATAAATCGCATGACAATGTTCATTGGTTTATTATGTTCAATCATTAAGCTTTTGTCCCATGGCACCATGAAATAGCATTCTTTTGTGTGTTACAGTGATGTATTTTGAGCTATTTTTAGAACAATTCCATAGAGCGCACTGTTTAAAAAAGAATGCATTTTTCAACATTTTTTAAAACCCAGATTTTTGAACAAATTCAGTAAAACAAAAAGTACCCCATCATTAACAATATATTATTTTTTCAGCCTACAGTATATCAACAGCCTACAATTTGAGATATGGCATAATATCTCTTCCCTAGAAACCTATGGTAAAAGCACTATAATACTGCCATAATTGCAGCTAGCCACTAAAATACAACCATGATTTTCTCAAAAATAACCTGGTGACCCCCAAATTTTGTTAAGTCAATATTCTTATATTGCCCGAAAGTACAATTTATGAAAAAAATGAATAAATTCTGGGTATTTGAAATCATGAGTAGGCTTCTACCTTAATACATCTTAATACTGTTATGATTTCCATAAATGAGTTTTATTCAAATTTTAGATATGAACTGGCTATGAGCAATGTCTCTTGGTACTTTTCTATTTCTCGGTAACATAAGATGTACAATCACTCTGATTGGTCAAATAGATTTTGAACTTCAATCAAACTGTTATGATGGTTACTAATATGATGGGGCTATAACTAATTCATGCTAATAACATCTATGGCATTCTTTCATGCAAAAATGTTAAATCAAATGGTCTCCAAGTTTTCATTGACAGTGAGAGAGCCGCAAGACTAATTTATTACCCCTTAATAGTGTCATCGCATCAACTTTTCCCAAGATCTATGTAAACAAGATATTTGGAATAGTGGACTTGATGATGGGAGAGGATGGAACTGTGAAAACAATTCATGTGGCTATCTTGCTTTCAACAAAATCACTGTGGCCATTTGTAGCTAGTCTAATTGAAGATAGTCAAAACTAGTTTGTTTGATATATTCATTGTGAAGTGTATCACATGAAAAGTTATTTATTCTTATCATATACTTCCTTGATATATTCTATTTCATGTGTACTAAATATGATTTGATCATGCTCACTCTGGATAATAATAATATCAGTCAATCCAGACAAAATGTTGAATGTCCAGATGCTACTTGGGATAGTAAACACTCATTGGAGTTGTCCATCTTACCAGTCTTCAGTGGCTGTCTAATATACCCTTCAGTCGTTTGTAATACTGTAAAATACTTTATTTTCGTTTAGAATTAATTTTCGCTATTTTCGCTGAAGGAATGATTGAGTGAAAATACAATCCAGCGAATATACTTTTTTTTCCTATATTTTACATTCAACTCATGAAAATAAATTCCATACAAAACACCCAAAAAGTCTTTTCAACGAAAATTAATTCCAGCTAAAATAAAGTATTTTACAGTATATGTATAGTTTTATACAACCATGATAATGCAGTGGACATCGATGACAATTTTGTCTTTATATTGCAGTACCAACTGAACATTTACTGTTTAGTAATCGTTCCCATGTCTATGCAACTCAAGGCAAGTTACAAGAAGCCCTTGTTGATGCAAATGAAGCCTGTAAACTTAAACCAGCCTGGCCAAAGGTAACACAAATTCCCCTATATACGTACTATTAACCTAATGTAATTATGGGTATGTAGCTAACAAAACAAAATGTTATTTTCATGTTAAATAAATGTTGTAGAAATTTCTTTTTTGACAGCAATTTTTACTGTATGTTATTCATTATTCGGTCAAAACCACTATGTCCACCCACTATTTGATTCTGTACATGTACATTTCTTTAATTCTGTATTCTCCTTATTGTTTCAACAATACCTTAAATTTGAAATAAAACGACACAAAAGAATCCTTTCAAAAGACAGAAATTGCGGCAGTAGCATGTGCAGCCAACTGCCAAGGACATATTGAAGATGAATTTAATTTTCTAATGGGATGTCATCACTATAAAACTCATTGCAAAGTACCATTCACATTGATGGCAAACCAATGGATGGACAGTTAATTTTATTACTTAGTGATGAACGTATACGCATTCATGTGGCGCAGTTCATTAAAAAGAGTTTCCTCACTCATCACCATACCTGAACTAAGCAAATTCATTGATTTTTTATCTTTTATTGAGTGCTAGTTCTATCCATTTTCAGAGCTTGTTTTTTGTCTTGTTTTTTTTTTTCGTTTGTCTCTGCAACCTAAATAAAAAAAAATGAAAAAAAGATTAAAGGCACTTACACGTTAATATATCATGTATATAAAAAAAGTGTATGTGCCTTTAATTGATCTTTTTAGTGGTGTGTTTATGATCATACTTCAAATGTTTTATAATCCAGCATACACATGTAATAAATGTAATTTTGTATTTATGTGCCCTTTTATTAAATATATGCCTTTTAAGTTCAAAAAACAAAATTTACTCATTTTCTTTTGCCACATTGCATTCTTTTTAAGTGTGCCACATGGTGAAATGAGTAAATGCTTTTGGTTTTGTTAATTTTAAATTAAACTTTAATTCTCCAAGCATTATTCAATAAATGTCGAACTAAATTAAACGGCTTTATTTGTCAATTTCTCCCTGGGAAGAGAAGCAAGCTTTCTTTTAATTGGCTTGATAGAATAAATACAGTACCTAGGCCTCCTTAAGCCAATCACAACTCAGGAATGGAATAACCATTACAGTCAAATTTGTGTTTGAATTTTAAAAAACAAACAAAACACATCTGCAACTTCCTTTATGAATTCCTTGCTGTTACCATTTTGTTTTATAGCTGAATGTTCTTTAAGATATATTTTTTTTATATTTTAGGGCTATTATAGAAAAGCTACTGCTCTGATTGGTCTCGGCCGATACCAAGATGCGGGTGTAACGCTATTGCTGTGTCTAGCAGTAGACCATAATTATATACCAGCAAAACGAGAACTCGCTAGAGTATGCTAACTTATTTTTATGTTACTGTGTTCTACCGGTATTATACATGTATGTGTGTAACCAAGAATTATTTCACTCGGTGTGCGATTATGTTTGTATATGAAGTCATGTGCACTATGAGATTGTCACAAAATCACAAAATAAACATTTTAATATTCCTAGGAAAAAAACACTGTTGTATTGAAAATGAGTGGGTCCCAATCTGATTAAAATTTTATGTATTATGTTTTTTGTTATGTACTTGTGATTCAGTACATTTTTACCAAAACTTTAAAAAACTATCAACAAATAAATAATAAATCAAAATAAAATAAAATGTGTATTTCCAAAGCACATTGTCTTTTTGAATAAGCCAATAACATTGCTCATTTCTCTTTACGCAACTTAAATTTAAATTTGATTGACACATACATGAAATTACGTAAAATGGCGTCATAATCACTCATATCTATCTCAAATTTAAGGGTTGCTGCATACCTGACTTCTATCTCGCCAGACATGGTTGGCATGTGTTAGTGCGCCCTCGTTGACAGATTCAGACACAAACTGAATCCACTGATGAGGGCACATTAGTTTAATGCCACTTATTGAGACAGATAGATTTTAGGTAGAATATTTGATTAAATATTAAGTTTTCACTCACTTCTGAATATTTTGTTATTTTTTGAAAGATTGTGATTCAATATAATGAACCAAGATAAAAATAATATCTTGATATTTGTAGTCAAGTGCTTCTTGATTTAACAGAGTCTTGTATTCTCCCAAAAATCTTATGGTTAGACAGCTTTTATTTCAATTCCGACTTGGTTATAATGAAAAAAATATCTTTCGTATTACAGGTGCTACATCATATTTTATCTCCAGCATCATCAGGAAAAGAGAGACCTGAACAATCATCTATCACTGGTGATTTGAATTCACAGGTAAATCCATTACCAATTTATTTTGCAAAGTACCATAGTTGACACCAAGCATCAAGAGCATTAGAGTCAAATAACTCAGAGTTGCGATGCATTGCTATCAAAAAATTATCAAAATGAATTAAACAATGAACCAGTGAGTCAATAAATCAATTATGAACAAATCAATAAATAAATCAGTGTGTCAATCTATGAACCTAGGCTCCATGAACCAATAAATGAATCTGATTCTGTGAATCACTGCATGAATCAGTCAATGAACCAATAAATGAATCTGATTCTGTGAATCACTGCATGAATCAGTCAATGAACCAATAAATGAATCTGATTCTGTGAATCAATCCATGAATTAGTCAATGAATC